CAACTGAACCTGTTATGTCCAGTTCGGGCATTGGATGCCTACGTTCACAGAGCTGCCCTGTGGCATAAGTCAGAGCAGTTAGTTGTATGTTTTGGGTCACTCAGAAGAGGGTGCCCTGCATCTAAACAGGTTATGAGCAAATGGATAGTCGAGGCTATATCATTGGCTTATGAAGCGGCCGGTCAGCCTTCACCTATGGCTGTACGGGCCCATTCTACAAGGAGTATGGCGGCCTCTACGGCCTTAATTTCGGGTGTTTCCCTTCTTGACATTTGTAATGCGGCAGGTTGGTCCTCTCCACATACATTTGTCAGGTTTTATGACCTTGACCTCTCCACTCCTGGGGCGAGGTTGCTTGCTTCTTAGTGTGCGCAAGGACTTCACACAGAACGGGCATTTGTCACTATGGCGTAGTGGGTATGGGGTTCCCACCGCGTCTCAAACGCAGCTCGAAGTTCCCTTGAAAGGGAACGTCTCAGGTTACGTATGTAACCCTGGTTCCCTGAGAGGGAACGAGACGCTGCGTTTGCCTGCCATACTTCCTGCATGCCCTGATCGACTTGCTTCAGACTTTTTCAGAAGCTGTCGCGGTCTGTTTTCAAGGGTGCTTTATAGTTTCCTGGTCTATGACGTCACCCATGACGTATCGGGCTTCCATTGGACTGATTTTACACGTGCTTCATGACGCAATCACGCAGAGCGTTCCCACCGCGTCTCAAACGCAGCGTCTCGTTCCCTCTCAGGGAACCAGGGTTACATACGTAACCTGAGACGTTTTGCAGGAACAACCACCACTCACATTTACTCCACATTTTAGTCCAGTTTAGTAAGGGTTATAAGATTATAAGATTATTAAACTTTCATCAATTCATCATATGTTTACTTAGAACATCATAATAAATGAATAAAGTTTGTGAAAGGTTTGATATAGTGTAGTTTGTGATCCTCCATCAGCAGCTGCAGTTTCTCTCAGCTGTATCAGTGCAGTCACTGTGACGTCTGACTGACAGAGGTTTTTGTACGACTCTTTATCACTGTGTGAACACATCTTTACTGTTGATCCAGTGATAACTCTGACAGTAATAATCTCCTGTATCTTCAGTCTGGACTCCACTGATGGTCAGAGTAAAATCACTGCCAGATCCACTGCCACTGAATCTAGATGGAGTTCCAGTATAACGGTTTGTTGCTCTATAAATCAGGAGTTTAGGAGCTTCTCCAGGTTTCTGTGAGTACCAGTGTAAGTAATGACCATAAGAACTATGATAATACACATCACTGCTGGTTTTACAGTTTATTCTGACTTCTTCTCCTGGTTGAACTGCTGGTATTGATGGACTCTGAGTTACAGTGATCTGTCCTCTACACTCTGAAAGAAAACACAAACAAAAATGAAAATGATGATATCCAGTATATGATAAACATATATTTCACATTTAAAAAAAATAAATAATCATTATTAAAACACGTATTTCACAAACCTTGAATAAACAGTGCAATGGTCCAGATGAAGATGATGATGTTGTTCATAGTTGTAGTTTAGTCTTGTGTGATGATGAAGAGTGTGTTGTGTTCTGCTCTCAGTCATGAAGTGTTAAACTCACAGCACTATAAACACTCTCAGAGCACTGAAGCATGTGCTGACAATGCAAAGAAGTGGGCAGGATTTACAACAGCTTGTGCTGAGAAACTGTAGCATGCGGCGCACCACGTGACTGATGTGCGACACCCACAAGTAATATTCAATATAGGCCCATGTGATCAAAAATGTCCTCAATTCAGAGACAGTTGTTGAGCAACGCCACTGTGCCACGGCCTCAATTTTGCATGTAACAGTTATTTGTACTCATGGTAAAACTGCTGCATAGATTGCAATCAAGCTAACAGATGTATTAGTGAAGGTCACATCCAGGCTTAATCACTGTTGTTTGCAACTGAATGTTTTAAAAACAGTTTGTATGTTTCTTTCCAAAGGCTCGCGCATAGACGCAGAACAAGACATTTCCATTTCAGGACACAGACTAATAGTTGTCTCGGAATACAAGTATTTAGGACTACACTTAGACTCAAATCTTGCCTTCAAAACCCACATAAAGAGGGTCTGTAATAAAGTAAAGTTCAGTTTGGCTAATTTCAGGTATATCAGAAACCTCCTATCAACTGAGGCAGGTAAGGTATATTTCCACTCATTGGTTCTCTCTCCCACATCACCTACTGTTTGATAAGTTGGTCCAACGCACACTCTACAGCCTTAAAACCACTGAAATCATTATACAAACAAGCTCTAGACAAAAGGCCATTTCGTTACCATCATTGCCATATTCTAAAGAAGTATAAACTGCTTAGTTGGGAAAACCTCATAAAAAACAGAAATGTCTGCTTAGTTTATAAGATCATGCACAGTTTAGCTCCTCCGCCTTTGTTTGGCCTTGTCAACTTTAAATCGAATGCAAACAGAGTTACAAGAGGTGCAGTTAGGAGGGACTGCACACTTCCACTCAAAACAACTGCATTCAGTCAGCCCGTCTTTTCATTCACAGCATCACATCAATGGCACTCAGTACCACCATTAATTAGAGAGTGCCCATCCTATTACTCATTTAAGATTAATGTTAAGAAATGGCTTATTGAAAATTGACACTGTCAACACTGATGCTGGTCCCATCCACCAACAATAACTGTATCATATATTATCATCTATTTTTAGATTATATCTGCTCGTCTTGTTTACTCGATTGTTTGTGATTTTAAACCAGTCTAATTGTTTACCTTTTGTTTATTGTATAAATAATTTTATTGTATTATAACTAGGGCTGTCAGTTAAACGCGCTATTAACGGCGTTAACGCAAACCCATTTTAACGCGATTAATTTTTTATCGTGCGATTAACGGTCTTTTTGGCCTAGCAAACTTTGTAGTTTTTTTCACATGCTTTTGCAACCGGACGCGGCGCTGCGCAGCGCTGCGCAGCGCTGCGCTATGAAACACATTCATTTCAATGACTTGTGCCGCACGAGGACGTTTTGTTGCTTCGTCAACCAAAGCGCAAGAGCAGCGGCGCGCACACCGCTGTCAAAATTCAAAATAGTTCAACGTTTGCCGTTGTGACAATTACTAGCCAATAAACGTTTTGGCATCCAAAAAGTTTTGAAAACTGGCGTAGCGCCACACATTCCGCGTCCTGTCTGAAAGCACCGGATCTAGCTAGACCTGAAACACACTTGTTGCGAGCCGGCCAAATAGTTGGTTAACGTTACGTTTTGAGTGGATGACAAACGCGAGACGCCGAAATGGATGCCAATAAGATTCTGAATTGAAAGTTTACTTTTAAAAAGTTGCCAAATGGTTCCATCCCATTGACTGACAAGACCAAAGTGATCTGTGTGTTTTGTCGTTGTGAACTGAGCTATCATCATCGCAGCACGTCTAGTCTGAAATACAACTTGATGGCCAAGCACACACACACACACACACACACACACACACACACTAGGGTTGCCACCCGTCCCTTAAAATACGGAATCGTCCCGTATTTGAGAATAAAATAGCGCGTCCCGTTTTGAATCAATACGGGACGGGGTTTGTCCCGTATTTTCGGAGTTGTCTTCAACGCAGCATCTCATGCGAATCATCCCACTGGCATTCTGTGAAGACTCGTCCTATTCTGCCCCTGATTGGGTGATACTCGCGAGTCGCTGCCATCGTTGGATTGATTGGTTTGTTTCAGGTTCACCGCCAATCAGAGTCAGAGGAGGGCGGGTCTTTTGGCAGAGAGTCGATTTGAAAGAATGGCGGAGGCTGCTCCAGATACCCCCCCGCGTCCAGCGCTGAAACGAAAGCGGATGCAAAAGTACAGACGAGAGTGGGAGGAATCAAATACTTGGCTGGAAAGTGTCAGCGCAAATGAGTATCAAGCCAATTGCACAATTTGTCGGCGAGTGTTCTCTGTTGCGCACGGTGGCTTGTCAGATGTGCGACAGCATGCCTCGGGAGAACGGGTTAGGGTTAGGGAATATACTTTTTTTGAGTATGAAAGCATTTGTTTAATTTAAAGTTAATAAGTTATGGATCTGTTAATTTAATAAGTTAATAAAATATGGTTCACATCTCACAAGTTCCTCCAAATGCCTATTTTTTGTGGTTTCACTTGCAAACTTTGTTGGCCTATGTTTGTTGTTGTCATAGTTGTGAATTCAGCTATGACAATATACTTGAGTTGTTATATAGAGAGACTGAGTGCATCTGTTCCTATTGATTCCCCCCCCATATAATAAGGCGTCCCTTATTTTTCTGTATTGAAGGTGGCAACCCTAACACACACACACACACACACACACACACACACACACAGCTGATGCGAATTCTCCGCCCCCTCGTCAATATCAGGACCTCGTCAGTATTTCTTTCATCCTTTTATTGATGGACAGTGTTACATTGTGTGAGAGATTATTTGCTCCAAGTGAGAATGTTAGTGTGAAATTGAACACAGTATTGTCAATGTTGTTTTCAATAAAAAACATTTGCACAAAGCAAGCCGATCAACTTTTCCATGTTGATACGAGCATTACAATTAGAAAAAATAATGGGACAAAAAGAAATCAAGAGACATTTAGAATAGATAAAAATGTGCGATTAATTGCGATTAATCGCAAGTTAACTATGGCATTAATGCGATTAATCGCGATTAAATATTTTAATCGTTTGACAGCACTAATTATAACAGTTTACTATTTGAGGATGCCTAATAACATCTGGCAAGGGGACTGCCGATGAAAACTAGCCTGTGGCTAACTCGGGTACGCTTACATTTGTTCTGAACGTTGATCAGTATACATTGTCCCTTTTCAAATAAACAAATAAAAAAAACTGTTTTTAATTATAGTAAACAATAGTTTTTTTCTGAATTTATATCATAATCACTGCATTTATGGTTTTAGAACATTGTTAATGGTTTCTGTCATAATGTGCATCAGTGTGATTAGTACATTTTCCTTAAAGATGGTGCTTTTAACCATTTTAATTTCAGCGTCTCATTCATGTCTTTCTACACAGGGATGAGAGAGTAGGCCTTCTGATGTGAAGTGTGAGATTTCTCTTTCTAGATGCTCGTTGAAGTGTCCAGAGAAACTCTCTCGCTGACAGAGAGGAACTCAGTCATATAAAGATGTGTCCTCTATTGGTGAAGCATGAAGTGCAATTATTACAGTGTAGAGGCTTTACAAGAACAAGAAGCTTTACAAGAACAAGCTCCACTCACATTTATACACATTTTAGTCCAGTTTAGTAAGGGATATAAGATTATAAGTTTACTTAGTACATCATAATAAATGAATAAAGTGTGTGAAAGGTTTGATATTGTGTAGTTTGTGATCCTCCATCAGCAGCTGCAGTTTCTCTCAGCTGTATCAGTGCAGTCACTGTGACGTCTGACTGACAGAGGTTTTTGTACGACTCTTTATCACTGTGTGAACACTGGACCACTGTGTAAACTCTGACAGTAATAATCTCCTGTATCTTCAGTCTGGACTCCACTGATGGTCAGAGTAAAATCTCGTCCAGTACTTGCTGTTCCACTGCCACTGAATCTAGAGTGAGTTCCAGTATTACGGCTGCTTATATAATAAATCAGGAGTTTAGGAGCTTCTCCAGGTTTCTGCTGATACCAGGCTAAGTAGCTGCCTAATATTCCTACATCTATATGACACTCTATTGTTGCTGTTTGACTCTGTTGGACAGTTTTAACTTCAGGTTGAGTCAGAGTCACTCCTCTGGATTCTGGAGAAGAGAAAAGAAAGTCAGTTAGTTTGTTAATCACCTTATATTTGTATATTAAAATGACCAAAACAACAATGGCATATTATATTTATATTAAAAAGTAACAACCTTGAATAAACAGTGCAATGGTCCAGATGAAGATGATGATGTTGTTCATAGTTGTAGTTTAGTCTTGTGTGATGATGAAGAGTGTGTTGTGTTCTGCTCTCAGTCATGAAGTGTTAAACTCACAGCACTATAAACACTCTCAGAGCACTGAAGCATGTGCTGACAATGCAAAGAAGTGGGCAGGATTTACAACAGCTTGTGCTGAGAACAAACTCATATACACTAGAGTTACACAATCATGACTTTATTTAGTATGTTTATTGTGACTCCTGAGACACTGAGGATGTGCAGATGAACGTCCATCTCTGTGTCCATATTCAGTCATGTGACCATCATCACTGCTACACTTCCACTAGATGAAGCGCCATCACTAAAGTAAGATCATGAATCATGAGTGTGTTCAGAAAGTATCAGGACTGATTGTGAATCTCTAATCAGAGTTCATGGTGTCACTCCATCTATCATGAAGCCTCATGTGTGTCTGAAATCATCAGATGGAGAAGAAACAGGCTGTTAAAGATGGACACATATTAGAGCTTGTTCACGTTTCATGATCTTGTGTGGAGATTCAGAACCAGTCCAGATACTTTTATAACACACCTTGAATATGAAAACATGCTTGACTGTGTAGAACATGCAAAACACCTTTTATATCTTCATTGTCACACTTTCTATTGACTTTGGCTCTAATATTCAATAAAGTCTTTATTTGAACAGATTCTCACTGAAGATTGAAGTGTGAAGCTGCAGGTTTTTCTGTGAATCATGATGATTGATCTGCATATGAAGAACAGAAGCATCATTATGAGAAACTCCACAACATCATCCATGATCAAAGAGGTCAAAGGTCACCTCAGAGGTCACAGCTCATCACATATATTTCTTTAAACAGTGTTATATCAGAAAGCATTTAGTCAAATCTGAATGAGTGAGTGTTGAGAAGAGCTGAGGATCTTCTAATATCAGTGTGTTGAAGTGTTGTTTCTCTCTCTGCTGGAGTGTGTGTTCACTCGAGTGGAATAGAGGTTTTTGTACGAGCGTTTCATTAGATTGTATCACTGTGGTACACATTCGGTGGAGGAACTAAACTGGTGATCAAATGTAAGTCTTTTTAATTACCTATTTAAAAAAAATAAAATTTTGATTTCAGAAAGTGTTTTAAAATTGAAAGAAGAACAACATTTATTAATAATAATGATTATTAGATATTGTGGCGACACTTTACTTAAAGCCTTTATGTATAATGCATTATAAAGGTTTCAATAATGTAGATTATAATGCCTTATATCTTTTCATAAATAATTCTAACCAAAGTTAAAATGCATTAAAATATTTGCAAATTCCTTGTTACATCTTAAGTGGTTGTTTATCATGTGTTTTAGTGTATTATAATTTTTGGAAGGTTTAACAGTGAATAGATAATATTATAATGAGTTATAACTGCAGTTACAATTATTCATGTGATCATACATGCTTTATAATGTGTATGTGTAATGTGCTTAATGCATTAAAAAGACTTTTAGAATGGAAATATATAAAGGCTTTAAGTAAAGTTTTACTAATATTGTGAATAATAATAAAATATAAATATAATAAAATAATAAAATGATATTGTCATGTTTATTCGTTCAAAAGAACGGCATTATTCCTTTCAACGACACAAAATGAAATTCTAAACATATTTCCATAATGTGTCTCACTATGAGTTTATTCAGTTTATTACAGGTTTGTTTTTCCTTCATTTATTTCTACACTGAGTTCATATTTAGTTCATCTTTTATTGTAGAAATCATACATGTAAAAAGAGATTTGACATCAGAATGTAAATGTTGCTACTTTCTGTAGTTCAGTCAATGATACTGAATCTCTTTTGCTCATGTTGTGCTTATAATTCAGTGCTTTATAATATAAGCACGATTTATGTGTGATTCAATTGTGTTTTAATTCTGTTTGAAAATGACATGTGTTTTGACTGGAATATCTCACTTAAGTAAAAAAAATCACTTTATTTTGGGATATAAAAACTGTTCAAATTAAAGTGTTCAGTGTATTACAATGCTATATATTATAATGAGGATTGATATAAATGTATATAGTGATTGTGTAGTTTGTATATTGTATATATATATATATTGACTGTAGTGAAGCTGAATGGCATGGAGGATCAGATGCTGGAGATTTGTCCTGCATTCCTCATGTCTGCTGCTTCAGTCCTGTTGAAATGCTGTGAATGTGCAGTGCAGTGTGTTGTGTGTGTGTTTGTGAATGTGTTGTGTTTGTCTCCTGCAGCTGGTCCCACAGTGAAGCCCTCAGTGTCTCTGCTGCCGCCCTCTTCTCTGCAGATCTCTGGAGACTCAGCCGCACTGCTCTGCCTGCTCAGCTCTTACTCTCCACAGGGGGCGCTGGTGAGCTGGACACTGGACGGGTCAGAGGTCACCGAGGGGGTTCTGACCAGCGCAGAGAGCCAGCAGGACGGCCGCTACAGCCGCAGTAGCGTCCTGACCCTCAGCAAAGCACGCTGGGAAGAGGGAGAGCTGTACGTCTGCAGAGTAACACATGATGGAGCTCCTCATGAGGTCTCGTTCCACAAGAGCTCTGAGTGCTGATGTTTCTCTCCTGAAGATGAGCCGTATCTGAGTGTCCTGTGTCAGGCAGGATTCACATGAGTCTAGTGCTGCAGCTGTAGTGCTTTACAACTCCATACTGAAAGAGTGTGTGTGTGTGTGTGTGTGTGTGTGTGTGTGTGTGTGTGTGTGTGTGTGTGTGTGTGTGTGTGTGTGTGTGTGTGTGTGTGTGTGTGTGCGTGTGTGTGTGTGTGTGTGTGTGTGTGTGTGATCTTTCAATCTGCTGTGTTTGCTGCAACATTCAATAAAGCTTCTCAACAAGTTCACTTTGTGTCTGACAACATCATTCAACTAACAGATGAAGATGCAGGAGCTTTTCAGAAGGTTGATGTCGCAGTAAATGTCAAATAAAGCTCTTGGGGTTTGAACATGGTCTCTGGAGACAGAGCTGCTCTATTCTGAGAGATCACAATCACTCCACCCTGACAATGCAAATGGGCTTTTCAGTCTCACTCTCTGATTGGTTACATGATCTGGACTGGAACACAACAGTTTCACTTCTGCAAAAGAAGGTGCTGGTATTTAAAAAATATAATAAAAATAATTTAAGTGACTGAATGCAGTGTGTTCGGTTTGATTGACAGGGATCATATATTACACCTAAAACATGATGATCATATTAAAACACTGACTGATTCTCTTCATAAACACAAGATTGATGTTGATTGTAATGATATAGTGTTATTAGTGTTTGAAAATACAATCATAAATCATTCTTCAAACCTGGACTAAACACTGCCAGAGTCAAGAGGAAGATGATGCTGAAAGTCATGTTTGTTGGTTGATGAAGAAGAGCTCTTGATCATGTCATGTTCAGTTCATAGAGCTATAAACACATGCAGAGTGAAGCATGTGCTGATCATATAAAACACCCTCTGAATGCAAAAGCTGCTGTAGACTGTGAGCTCACGACGAGACCGAAGAGAGATCAGGACGAGATACAGACTCACCTCAGACTCATCAGAGTCAAACAGCTTTACTGACAGGGTTAAAGAACGGCTTTACATGGCCGAAGCACAGTCACATTAAATATACTCAGATACACACTTACACACAAATACACACAGTTAAAATATACATAAATGGAGTTCAGTCATGAAACCATCCGTGTTTCCCCAACAATGTCTCTAATCTGACAAACATTTCAGGTGTTGGAGTCTCTACTGATGAGCTGAGGAGTTGATCATGTGTGTTTGATGAGAGAGACATATAATATGTGCAGAGTTGTGCGGACTTGAGACAGTCAGGTATCCCAGAATGCATCTCGCACCAACCAGCAAGTGTCAATAGCAGAGGAGAAAACCCCGTAATTTAAAAATACTGCTGTTATTGTGTCACGAACTGTAGTTTTAAGATTTTTTCAGGTGAGAATGTAGTTATTTAAAGCTCAAATCGGTGGTTTATTAGTAAAGATAGCGTCTATTTGATTGGGATTCAGACGGAGGCGGTGGTTTCACTTCCAGCTGATGGATGACACAACAAAACATTTGAGATGTGATGGAAATGACACTGTGGAGATGATTTTCATGACTCTCAGCAAAATGACATTATTTGTAATGTTGTATGAAAAGGAGATGAATGTCAGTAATTCTGTAATCTTCTACAGAAACATTAGACTGTATTTGATGGTCTGTAACCCCAGTATATCTCCAGAAACTAGAGAAGTGGTGTATTCCAGTAACATCAAGCTCCTGTGAGGACGCTGAACATCTGCTGATGGAGCTGCTCGATTCTCAGAGGAACACAATCACCTGATGATGCAAATATGAGTCTCACTGTCTGACACTTTATTCTCTGAAATGAGTCAGAAGAGTTGACTAATGGAGAGATGAGGTTTGTTCATATTCATCAGTTTATAATGAAACACTGTCAGGGTCTGAAGCCTCTGAACTGCTGAGATCGTCTTTGACTCGGTTAGAGAGTAAGAGCTCGAAGAGTTCAATACACAAATGTAACACTTGTGTGATACTATAATCAGTTTATTGTAAGTAAAAGGTAGAAATGTTCCCTGGAGACTTCACCTGATCACTGGCCCTCAGAAGATGTAGGAGGCAGGAAACACATGGACCAGCATTTTAGAGACATTTAGTTTATATATATATATATATATGTGTGTGTGTGTGTGTGTGTGTGTGTGTGTGTGCATTGAGGAAAAAATAAATAACAATGTACTAACACAAAAACAAAAAAAATAACATCAGTGTCAAATTTCAAATGATTTGACCCTTCGAAAATTAGTAAATTGAGAAAAAACGGACAGAAAAACAACTAAAAAACAAAGCACATCACATTCAAATTTGGAAATTTCTTTTATAACACTGGTGTCTACTCTTATTTCCCCAGTATTATATTTGTGCTGTTTCTAACCACTTCTTTAAATCCCTGTTTAAATACTCTTAATTTTTAGTTTTTCTTTTCTTCCCTTTTAATTTATAACAAGGAACTATTTTTCTAACTATTCCACAGGTTATATCAAAGTTACTGAATGCTAGACCATTCAATCTCTCACTGTGGCACTGAAATGTTCAGGTGAATACCTCACTCAAATGAAATAATCAAATAACTCAAATTTCACAATGTCAGAACACATCACATGAACAGTGAATACTATTATAAATGTCCACACACTGCGGATGAGCTCTGGAAGTCTCTATGGAAAAGGAAGGATCAGTAGATAACGTCGTTCTCTAAAGCGCTCAGTTCATTCACTGAGCAAGCGTTAAAATGTTCTGTCCACTCAGTTGTGAAATATAACGTGTGAAAGAAAACTCAAGGATGTATCCAACCAGTTTATCCGACACGAATACAAGAAATGTCAGTCCATTCCGCTCCTCTGTTTCTCTCCTCGAATACGCAGTTCAGCGTCAGTGATTCAACAACTGGAACACAGTCCGAAAAGCAGAGAAAAACCCGGCCTGCACATAACCGGACAGCACACTTAATTCACTCACATTAAATCATCACAAGCTTGAAATGATTTTCGATTCAATATCGTTCACTTAACAGCTCATCAGATCATAAAATCGGTTGTTAACATCACACAAGTGATATTACGAACATAAATCATGCACAAAACAAATTACATTCATTAGTCTATCTTCAAACAGACAAAACATTATTCAATTTGAATATTGAACTCACCACTTCCCTTGTAAACAACTCACTTAATGTTGTTTCCTCCGTGTGATGAAGCTGAAATAAAGATGATTGATTCGATCTCAAAGTCTATGGCCGTTTCTCAATATGCGTTCTTGTCTGTACTTGTGTTCTTGTGGACTTGTGAAACTTCATCAGTCTCTGCCCAAGTACTGTTTCAATTCAAAGTTCACATCTAGCCAAGTCCAGTTCAAATCCCCGGATGTGTTCTTGATCCGCCCCGTTTACCGAGGATGCATCGAGAGGTGACTTGTGCGGACTTGAGACAGCCAGGTATCCCAGAATGCATCTCGCACCAACCAGCAAGCGTCAATAGCAGAGGAGAAAACCTGCGTAATATCAAAATACTATTGTGTCACGAAATGTAATTTTAAGAGTGTTTCAGGCGAGAATGAGGTTGTTTAAAGCTCAAATCTCTGGTTTATTTATAAAGATAGCGCCTATTTGAAAAATGTATCTGACGTTTTCGGAGTTGTGACATCCAGGCGTTCACCGGGTGTTCAGCGCTCATCAACCCCGACTGGAACAGCTTTTCCTCGGCTAGTGCTTCTGACGTTTGCCGCTGGCTCTGATGTCTAGTGGATAAACTTGACGTATAATTCGTCTTGTGTATAAGTCGATCTTTGGTCTCATTAAACTATTGTTTGTTCCTTGGCAAAAAAAAACGTTTTGGCTGAGGGCAAAGTGAAGTTTCATAACTTTATATATTTAGGCTATTTAACTTTAACTTTGTAGCCTATTAGAGAGCTTACTTATGTTTGAATTGTTTGCCTTATTTATCATTGTAGATATTATTGATCATTAAAACTGACATTTAACAAAAAGAGACAGGGTTGTGTAATTTTATTTTATATACTTTAAAATATATATATTTTTATATTTATTTTAACATTCTCTTCACTATGTACAATAAAATAAAATGACACAACCCTGTCTCTGTTTGTTAAATGTCAATAAAAATAAATATTGTTTCATATTTTTAAAATGAAAACAAAAAGATCATGTTGTTATAAATATATGCAGTGAAGATAATACGCGTTACCTGAACCACATGGTCATTAGGCTACTATGTTTAAGATTTTTAAATGAAAAGAGGCAGGGTGGTGTTTTATAACATATTTCGTTTTATTGTTGACGAAAAGAGGCAGAGTTGTAGCATTTCGTTTTATTCTTGCCTAAAATATACATGAAGATAATCGGAGTAGCCAGAGCGTGCTGAGTGACGCGATCAAGAACGCACTGTTCCATTTGCAGAATAACCGGACTCGCGTCCTCTCGTCCTCGGGAGTTCGTTCTCCTGAGTCGAACTTGGCAAGTCCGAACTACCAAGGACGCAAGTCCGAAGTTTGCGTACTTGGTATTGAGAAACGGCCAGTGACTGAAGGGAGAGTGAGTGTTTTATAGTCCATGCTGGTGATGGGACACAGGTGACGGTGATCATGATGAGGTGCAGGTGATGATGACCGGGAATGCTGGGAAGTGTAGTGAAGACACAGATGAAGGAGGTGAATGTGACATCAGTCCTTCACTAATTCCTGCATCTTAATTGTAATTGTTTGCTGTTTTTATTATAAATTAATTATACTAAACTTTTAAAACTACTTTTTAAAAATAATCCTAACCTCATAATCCAATTAATTATTCGTATAGATAAAAATTGCATTCCTGACATTCACAGATATTTTAAGGCATAAAAATTGGACAATTTGATTTTAAGGTTTTAAAGGATATGTATAAACAGTGTTTAAGCAAATCATGAATTGGGATGATTTCCAGAAGCTGGTTCTTATTTTGACAACGTTATTTTTGGTGTTTTGGGTACATTGAAAAGGTGGTTTAAAATACCTGTAAATATCATGGTGATGTTGTTCTTCACAGGCATTGATGATTTTCCAACAGTTTTGCTGGAGAAGCGAGAACTATAGACACCAAACACACCAAACATAACCATTTTTTCATTCTGGTCTATGTGTACTTTGTGTCCCACATAGCCTGCATTATATGGAACAGGATTAAGGTTCCTGGCTCCCTTAAAAACAGACAAAAAAGAACATCAGTACATCATTACATAGTAAACCATACTGAAATCAAAGAAAAAAAGCACATTGATGTAAA